TCACACGCAACCGCCTGACACTCTCTAGCATACGACAGCTATTTATCGTCTGGTGTCAAGTTACCATAGGGTCAATGAAGTGTTCAGTTGTGGGATTCAAGGTGCCTTGTGATTATCTAATGTTGCAACAACTCTGAAGATTGATGGTATGCAACTTTTAATTACTGTAACCTGAAATCTTCATTTATTCCCGTCCTATCTCAGAGACTATGCCAATCAGGTGATTTTCCACGAAAATTCCGCTTTTCTTACGCACACTCACTGCTCACTCGGAAGAGGCGGGGGAAAGGGGGCGGGTGGGGGATCTGTGGGAGCTAAGAGTGAATAGAGCATAGCTCTCATAGGATTCAGAATTGTGATGGGTTGTTCTAGCTAATGGATGCTCATAATGTTATAACATACGAAAGTTAACTCACTTTCCTTCCCTCCACATGAAATGTTGTCACCACGTTTTTCAAGGCGGTAAGTCAAATGTGTGAAACATTCTCTGAAAGTTTAACAAAAGATTGATGATGTCCATTCACAAAAACCATAAAACCAAAGAAAAATAGGGATGTTGTACCTGTGGTTCTGAGGATACCTTGTGATACGGTACGCGGTCGCAGCACCGGGGCAGAGAATGTTACAGTAACGTCGGGGTTGCCCATTTGAGTCTCTTCCTGAAAGCGATGTTTGAGACAAGATAAAGGAGAAAAATCCTTGAACAGGAAATAAAAAGCTAGTGAAAAAGTTATGAAGAGCACGGGAGATGGCCAAGACAATCGAAATATGCCGCTTCATCGCGTCCCGCGATCGGCACCGCGTTTTCTTGATTATCGTTACCCTGTCAATTGGAGCACCTGGTTCCGTATGTGGGAAAACTCTCTGCGGCGGTGACTTGCGCCATGTGTGGCACCTGCGCTATCTCGGCGGAATAACATGGAAGGCAAGTACTAGTACTACAGAGGATGGGTGAAGGAATGAATGTATATCATTAGCGAAATCGAAAAAATAAATAAATTGACTTACATCAAAGCAAGTGTTCAAAGGCACTTTTCTTCCATTCTGGTCATTTTCTGTCTCTTTGAGGAGAACTTCACAATCCGAGGCCTCTTTGTTATTCTTCTCGTCCTTGCTTTTACAGACCAATTCACGCCATTCTAAAGAGTGACCGGATAGCTTTCAATTTTGCTTTACATTGACAATAACGGAATGCAAGGCTCTCATTCTGCATATTCATGGGATTTCGATTGAGCCACACACGATGGGAAATTGTATTAGTGACTTCTTTAGACGCCTAGGGATAAAATAGGTTAATCGCTGTAACCAATATTCAGAAGAAAAATGTTTCCAACGAGATCAAGAGCTTTTCCTGATTGGGTGGTATACAGGGATTAACCCATTTTCCTCAAAGTGGCT